ACACAGCCTAAATAAACTGGCTTCTTAGAGTCCAGGGCACATCCCGAAGCCTGCTCATGGCCCGTAGATGGAAGGCCGAGGTGGGGAGGGCCCGATGCCACCGTGACCAGCGGTGTGACTGCGGCAACCGCTTGGGCCAGCTCAACTGACTTGTACCAGGAGAAGCCAGCAGAAAGATGGAGGCAGCCTTGGGGAAATTTTAAAAGGGGAAGAGGTTGACAAAGCCAGAAGGGTGGCTGTCCTTCAGAAGAGAAAAGATGAGATTCGTGTAGCCTGTTTCATGTCCCGTCCGCTGATGAAAGGCGTCCTGCCCACTCATCCCCTCCCCCTCTGTCGCTGGGACAGGGGCCGGCGTGGCGGCCATCGGGCCTGCCCTGGGAGGTGCCTACGTGGACCCCGTGCCCATTGCCAGTCACGTCGTCAGCGCGGACTCGATAGAAGGTAACAGCCCAGCTCAGTGGGTCCTGGCGGAGAAGGCACAGATTCACGGCCACCCGGGGAGGGGCGGTGCCCCGCGTTAGTGCCGGGTGCGGGGGGGTCTGTTGGTGAGATTGTCGCAGCCACAGGCAACTGCCACGGTTCCTAGGATCCCGGACGACAGACTGAGTGTCCGAGAACCTTCGGTCTGTCTTGCCAAAGGACACCCGTGTCAGATAAAACAGGGAAGTTGTGAGTAACACAACTCTGAGCCCTCCACCCCAGCCGGGCTATTCCTGTGTGTTCCCCTGCCCACCCCGCCCCGTGCCTTTGTGTCCAGAATCCATAGTAGTTTTTCCCCTGAAGACACTGAGCCGGTACTGAGAGGCAGCCAGCCCAGCAGCCACGGGCCTTGGTGCCTTGCCGAGTCCGGGGAGTGCCAGGGTCCCGGGTGGCCCGGCCCGCGGTGGGGGAGGCCCCGGCAGCTGCCATCGGGAGCCCAGGCTGCGTCAGGTCCTCACAGTGGGCCACTGACCACTTGAGGGACACAAACAAGGGTCCAGCTAGTACCTCTTATGTTTTTGCCCTTTTCAGTTTTTTTAAAGATGAAGATACTAAAACACACTGGTTGTAACCACGGGATTGTTTATATCCTTTCAAAAAACTCTCCCGTTTAGCTATCACCCCCGAGCTTGTTCTGTGTTGTTACGCAGCCTTCCAGTGATCCTTTCGAACACTTATACAACTTCCATTTTTCAATATATTTTGAATTTAATGAAAACTTTTTTATTCTTAGTTTTATTTTTAATTATTTTAGTTTTGTGTTTAAAAACACAACATGGGGCGCCTGGGTTGCTTTTAGACGGTTGAGCGTCTGCCTTCGGCTCAGGTCAAAATCCCAGGGTCCTGGGATCAAGTCCCTGCTCAGTGGGGAGCCTGTTTCTCCCTCTCTCTGCTCATGCTTTCTCTGTCTCTATCAAATAAATAAAGTCTTTAAAAAAAACCCATATAAGATTTACCCCCTTAGCTATTCCTTAGTGTCCAGTTCAGTGGCGTGAAGAAGGTTCCCGTGGGGCAGGTGTACCGCTGGGGATGCCGATTGGCTAGACTTCGTCTTGCGGTCGGACGTTAAGACTCAGGTTTCTGCCTGGGCACTGAGCATCCCACACGAGCAGCTCCTGAGAGTCCCACGCCAGCCCTCAGAAAGCAGCTTGCTCACTCCAGGGTGGAGGCGGCTGGGAGGGGCCAGTGGGGCCTTTGGTACTTCTGGGACAGGGCAGGACCTTCCAGAAAGCATCCCCAGTGGCCGCACGCGGGCGCTGCCGAGCACAGGGCCCAAGCAGCGGACCTTGTCCCCCTGCTCCGGGGGGCACCCGTGGGGAGGCGGGCGGGTGGGCGGGCCAGCCGGGTGACACGGAGCCGGTGCAGCCCTGACAGCTTACAGCCCGGCCGTGTTGGCGCTCAACGACATGCTGAAGCAGCAGCTGAGCCTGACGCAGCAGTTCATGGAGGCCAGTCGGCACCTGCACGGGTCCCTGCTGCAGTCCCTGGACCGGGACGCGTTCCACTACCACACCCTGGAGGAAACCAAACAGGTGACCGCAGCACACCGCCCTTCCCGGGAGGGGGCAGGGGCCTCGCTCGTGGAGGGGGACGGGGCTCGGGCCAGGCAGCGGGGACACTGTGGTCGCAGCAGAGGGAGCCTGCTTCTGACCTCAGGGCAAAGGCGGCGGGGGGGGGGGGGGTCCTGTTCCTCCACAGACCCTTCCCAAGCTCTGTCCCCGCGGGGCTTCTCTCCTCAGTCCTGGGAGCTGAAGCACCGAGAATGTTACACTCACCTTTCTCTCCCCAAATTTAATTTTTGTCTGATTATAAAAAATTTGTGCTCATTTTATAAAAATTTTGTTACAGAGAGAGGTAGTTTATAAAGCCTTCCATAACTTCAGAGATGATTATTACCAACTCGATGTTCTTTGGATTTTCCCCGTGCAAAACATGAACTGTATTATGTAGAGAATTACAGTGTTATTGTATATTATCAAATACATGTTACAATGTAATAGGTGTAACATTCTATCTAGTGTGTATTTCTTTATAGAAATGGCATCATACTATATGAGCTGTTCTGCATGGGGATTTCTGTCCTTTTATCTACGTCAGTCCGTAGTTCTCAAAACAAAGGACTTTTGAACAATATGGTCACGATACCATGATAATCCCGAAGCCAAACGAGCTTTTCCTAGTATCGCTGGATATCCAGCGTTAGATTTCCACTTGTCTCGTGAAGGTGTACATTTTGTTGTTTTTTTTATCAGAACCCAGACAAAGTCCATACATCAAGACTGTCCGGGGTCTTTTTGGCCTCCTGGTCAGAGCGGCGGTTCTCGCACATACCACGGGGGTGCCCACTTTGAGAACCGTGCTCCTCAGGTTTCCCCTGCACTGCCCCCCCCATCTCTCTGATGTCTCCTTGTAGTTTATTTGTTCAAGGAAACAGGTTGTTTGTTCGATGGTTGCCCCCATTCTGGACTGTTGATTGCACCTCTGCAGTCCTTTCACTTCGCTCGGTCCTGCACGTTGGTTGATGGGATGCAGCTGAAGCGGTCTGCCCACGTCGCCTGCCTGCAGCCCACCGTGGCTCCTCGTGCCCGCACTGGGCCCACGTCCTGGGAGTGGCGCCCGGGCCCCGTGTGCTCTGAGGGCCCCCCGGGCAGTGCCCCTCGCCGGTCCCACCCCCAGCCACGGCTGCTCTTCCCTCTCAGACCCAGTCAGGTCTCGCCCCTTGCAGGGTGCCCTGCCGGGAGCCTTCTGGGCTCATCTCTCGTTTCTACAGCACTGTCACGTGGCATCCTGCCTCTTTTTCTGTCCGCCTGTCCAGGAGCCAATGGGGACAGGCACCGCCTCCAACGCCCCAGGCCTCAGTAGACTCAGTAGACCGAGGCAGCAGTGGTGACATCTCTGTCCTCTGCCCCACAGTACATCAGGCACCACAGGCCTGCGCCGCTGTCCATGGAGGATGCCCTGGAGGAGGTGAAGAAGGAGCTGTGAGTACCAGGAGGTGAGGCGGGGTCCGTGGGCTCGAGCTAACACGCTGGGCCAACGCCGGCTGTGACGCCCACACGTTGTTTTCCAGGGGACAGTGGTGGGAGGTGGCACCCAGGACTCACCTGAGTGGAGTCCCGGCTCCAGCCTTTCCCAGATGAGGGACCGACCGCTCCCAGCCTCCCCCCCACCGCCCCCACCCCGGGCTGCCCGGCGCCCGACCCGGGAGGACGCGCAGGCCGGGGGAGCCGGACCCACGGGCAGCTCGGTCCCCGCTCCCGGCGGGACGGAGGGTGCCCGCCTGCCTGGAGCCCTGCGGGGCGGCCGGACTGGCCAGGGGCTGCCTTCCTGGTGAGCGGAGGTAGATGGAAGGGCCGAGAAGCCCCGTCTGCTCCACAGGAGCCAGCGCCAGATGCCCAGGCTGGGGACGCCGACAGGAGATGCCAGGACACGGCTTCCGACCAGACTGCACAACTCAGACTCGCACAACGGGCACAGCCCCTCCTGACTCGGCCCGAGCGCGCTTCTAACTCAAACACACAGAGAAAAAGGTCTTTAAAAAAAGTTTTTATTTGAAGGCAAAACAGTAAAATCCACAAGAAATCGTTAACAGCACGTGTTTACGTTTTATCCTGAATCAGACACGTTTGAACAATTCACAGCTACAGGAAATCTAGAACAAAATCAAATTATTTTATCACATCAGGTTGAAAAATTGGGAGAGGACTCTGCATTTTATTGAAAAGAATTTTTCAAAAATGTTTCTGTACAAAGAGACGGCACCGCACGAGCTGCCCACAGACGCCAGGCGTGGCCATCCCCGCACCGTCCCCAGGGCGGTGTCTGCCGCACCCCCCCGCCTGGCCGGGCCCCCTCGCTGGCAGGGTGGGGCGGGCGGCAGGGTGGGGCGGGCTCGCTCTCCCCACCCCAGAGCGGAGCGGGCCGTCCGTGTGAGCGCTGGTGTTGGGTTCCTCTAAGTGAGAAACACACGCAGAGACACTAAGAGTGCAGGCTCTCCGAGGGCGTCACTCCGTGACCTGAAGATGCCTCAGATCAGCTTCCTTAGAACCTTTGTTTCTGCAGGGACCGCGAGTGGCTAACGTTTGGGGACAAAATTTCAACTCAACTAAAGTAACTGAACTACGGGCCGTGAGCACATCTTAGAGGAATCAGGTTTCAAATTCTCACCTGGATCCTCTGAGAGTAACATTCCCTTCTCTAAAACTAAACATCTAGAGTAAAAATGAAAGCCCTGTGTAACTCTGCCAATCAGAAAGGGTCTGATTTTCTGTTTGTAACCGGCGCCTGGCCCAGGGCCCGTCCTCCACAAGCTCCTCCCAGCCTAGGTGGCAGCTCCGAGCGGACTGCGGGGAGGTGCGAACAGCCGTGTCTTCAGGTGTCGGGAATTCGTATCCAGGGGTGGAGGGTCTCGGGTTTCTCACTTCTCTGTCAAGGGAAGGAGGCTTGTGGCTGGGCGGCCGGGGCATCTCCGGGCGGGTTCTGGCTTCTACGGGAGAGCTGGTTTGCAGGCGGGGCCTGGGGCCCCCCACGCTCTGGAGCACGGCCCTCTCCCTAGGCATGCTGTCGTCTTCCTTCTCTTCTGTCGCTCCCCAAGGATGGAGACTGACCACCGAGCTGTCCCTACCGTCTGTCACTGCCAGTAAGCCAGGAAGGTCCCAACGGCTCCTGCCCGCAGAGCGCCTACTTGCACTCGTCCCTGGCCTTCATGCGGGCAATGAAGGAGTAGCTCTTGTTCCGGCGGTAGTTCTCGTAGGGGTCGTCCAGGGCCACGCCCACACCCTTGTACTGGTCCCACTTGTCCCGGACGTCCCCCCCCTTGATGGGGTCCTGGATCCCTTGCTCTTTCACGCCGAGGCCACCAGATCCACTCCAGCCTTAAGAAGAAAGGGGGGAGGGCAGTTACAACCCACGGAAGTCGAAATTTGGCCCATTTATCCATGAACTTAAGCAAGACTTCACGTGCAGAGCTGAATGACACGCGCCCGTGTGGTTTTACACACGTGAGGCGGCTGCAGTGAGAAAGAACGCGCAGCGAGAACTCGGCGGGTTCACCCTTGCTAGTTCTGGCAGCGAGCCAGAACCTTCTCTGGCTCCCCAGCCCCGAAAGCCCAAAGCAGGTGGTGGTTCTTCCCAGGAACCTTACCCATTTTCACCAGCATCTGATGTCCTTTGTTCTCTTCCCCGAGCCTTGAATCAGGTATAGGAGGTGCTGAATTAGAACCCAGACCAGCCGAGGAACTAAAATTAAGACAGGTTACGTTTTTTAAAAAAGAGTCGATACATTTATTGGAATGAAAACTCTGAGAACATTACAGCGTGTGGCGGACGTGAACATTCACCAGCGTTAGAGGGGCACGCGGGGACACACACACATCCCGGCTCTCTAGCCGCCTTCTCCGTCATCTTCGGGTGCCAGGTAGGGGAGCTCCCTCCCCTGGGCCCTGCCCCACACCGAGCAGCAAGGGCAGGTCGCACGGAACCCCCGACAGGCTCAGAGACAGCCCGGCTGCTACCTCACGCTTTACGACATTACCATCAACAGATAAGAGCGAGGCGTGAGACGAGGAGGCACCGCTGTCACTGTGCTAGGACTCGGGGTCCCTGAGGGGCCACCTCAGCATGGGCCCCCGGGAGCGCATCTTCCACCGACAGGTCTCCACACTGACAGCAAAGCGTCAGAGGGCTCCGGCGCGACCAGCGGTCACTGGACAGTTAAGACAGAAATCTTACGGCGGGGTGGGGCTCCTGGACCGCGACCGACGTCTCCTTCCTGGGGAGTAGGACTTGGAGCGCGAGCGGGAGCGGGAGCGGGAGCGGCTGCGGGACGAGCGGGAGCGGCTGCGGCTCCTGCGGGGAGGACAGAGCTGGCGGTGGGCGGCGGCCACGGGCGCCCCACAGGAGCCTCGGCGGGCGCGCGCGGCCCCCCCGCCTACCTGGAGCGGGAGCGGGAATAGGAGCGCGAGCACGAGCGCGATCTGGACCTGGAGTACGAGCCTGATGACTTGGACGACCTCGAGTTGGAGCGGGAGGAAGAGCGCCCCCGGCTTTTGGATCTGCTCCGGGACCGTGAGGGGCCGCTGCAGAGAGAGGCCTGGTGAGCGGCAAGCCCCGAACTTTCCAGAAGACCCCAGGCGGGCGGGGCTGGGTGCAGACCTGCCTGGTCCCCTCAGAGGACCAGGCTCCCAGCGCGCGGTTGATCACGCACGACGGCAAAGCTCTCCTGGGCTAGCGTCTTAGGCGTTAAGGGGGCCCTGGAGGAAAACCCACCGCAGACCCAAGCAGAGACAGGACCGTCCTCCCTCTGGCCCGGTGGGGGAGACAGGACAGCCCGGGCATGGCTGGATGGCGGGTCCGTCAGGGCGTCTGACGGTGGCCCGGGCAGGGGCCCACTCTGGCTGGGGACGCGGGCCCACCGCGTGCAGGAACCCACGTGCTCACCTGTTGCGCTTTTCCTGGCCCTTCCTCCGCCGCGCCCGCATTTTTGCTCGAAAGAACTCATAGAGGCCATTCTGCTCCCAGCCTTCGCTGTAAGACAGGGGCGTTTCCTGTGTGACCCTGCCCGCCTCCCTCCCGCCGGGAACTCAGGTGCAGGTCAGCAGGAGTAAACCCCAGCGGACACGCGTCCGGGCGTGCAGCCCCCCTTCCCTCCCGCCCTCGCTCGGACGCCCAGCGGGGTCCGGCACCGTGCGGGGAAGGAGAGCGGCAGGGCGCACGCCTGGCTCCTGTGCCTTTTCCACATCGATGTTTCCCAGAATAGCTCAGATGGCTCCTACGGCCTGTGATCTAACTAACTGGGGACAAGGAGCTCTGACTCCTAGATGGACAGGCCTGTGAACCAGCACCAGGCAGGAGGCAGTTCTAGCCGGACTGGTGACGAGTCCGCTGGAGGGTGTCCTGAGGGGGCTCGTGACAAAGCCTGGGGCATGCGACTGCCAGCTTCTGAAACACGCCACGCCGGAGACGGCAACTTGCCCCAACGTGTCCCCACCAGAGAGGCCCTCCACTGAGAGCTGCCGTACGTGGGACACACGTTACCCACGGCCAGGGGAGCGACGGGCCCGAACTCGGCCTGGCTTTACAGGCCGCCCCCTTCCTCATCTGGGCCTCCCACCACCCCGGGTCCCCGGGCAGAAGGCACCCGTGGGCATGAAGCAAACTCGGGGGGAGGTCAGGCCAGGAGAGGAGACAGAGGCCGCCCCCCCTCCAAGTGCCGTACCTGTTCCTGGGCCTGTCGTGGGAGGGGGGGCTGTAAAAGGCCTCCACAGCCGCCAGCAGCCTCTCGCTGGGCGGCATGGGGGGCGGGAGGCGGATGTCTTTTGGGTCCAAAGGCTTGTACTCGTGGTCTTCCAGCTGCAGTGGGGAACACAGCTGTCAGCCCCCCTGCCAGAGCCGCCCTCAGGCCCACCCGGCGTGCTGCAGCGACCAAGGAGCAGGGCCAGGGGCACACAGGGTTACCCCATGCCCATGATCTGACTCCTAAGTGAGGCGGCAGAGGACTTCCTTGGGGCCAATAAAGGCCTCTCCAGAAAACACGTGAGACACAGCCTCCAAGCTGAGGTGACGGAAAGACCCCTCGGTTTCCTCAGACACGATACGGGTCCCAGATGCCGCCACCCGCACACTCTGCCCCGTGCTCCCGAGTCCTACCCCGGGACCCCCACGCAGGGAATCCGCTCGCCAGAAGCCAGCTCAGCTCGCCCTGCTGCCCCAGCGTGGCCCTTCTCAACCTCCGGTCTGATGGCGGCTCCTCCCTCAGGTCTCCGGAGCTGCTCCCGATCGGCCTCGCTGCCCTCGCCGCCCCCCGGCGCTGCCCCTCCCGTGGCCCCCGCAGGCCCAGCTCAGAGGCCGCCCCCTTCTCTGAGAAAGCCCTCCACTGTCGGCCCTGGACACGGTAGCTTCCCAGGGCCAGGACCAAGAGGGACCCGCACCTCGCACCCGGCCCGGCCCACTCAGGCCACAAGGCGTGCAGCCCACCGGGAGGGACGTGCGGAGCAAGCGGAGGGCACACAGGCCTTGCTCATTTTGCCTCAGGAATTCAAGATGAGGAAGAGGCACCGGCTCAGACGCATTCCCACTGACTAGTCCCGTTCGCTGGGCGTAGCAACAAGCGGGAAGGGGACCTGGGAAGCAGCGTCTGCCCCCTGCCGGGAAATGGGCGCCACGCATGAACTTCTCATGGGGAGGCCGAGGAACGGCACGAGTGTGTGCTACGAAGCTGGGTGCTCGCCGTGGCGACGTTACCTTCACGAGGGGGGCCATGAGCCCCGCGGGCAGATCGAAGTAGGGCACGTTGGGCACCAGGCTAGGGTCGTCGTGGTTGATGTGGGGAGGGCCCTGTCGCCGCATGTGGGGGGGCTGCCCATTGAAGCCATGGGGAGGAGGGCCGAAGTCGGGGTGCTGGGGCCCACCCCAGGGTGGGTGCTCGTTGATCCCAGGATGAGGCATGCGGTGGCCAGGGTGGTGGTGAGGGGGTCCCATCTCTGCAAAACAGAAACTCCTCTCAGGCCTACTGGGCAGTCGTGCGCTGGGTGGTGCCCATGGCGCAGTCGAGACATCCAAGGGGACGAGTGCCCGGGCAGGGGGCTTCGATGAGGGGGCCCACACCTGCCTCTGGGCAGTGCTGTCCAGCACTCCTCTCCCGCTGCTGCTCGCCGCCCGGGGTGATGTAGCCAGGTGGGGAGGGGCCGGGCCTGGGCGGACCTGTCCTGCACCCACAACACGACCCAAGGTGGAAGGAGGAACAAGGGAAATCACAAAATCTTAAAGTAGCAACATTACGGGCCGAATCGGTATCGCCGTATTTGGAGAAAGGGCATTTTAAAAAGGTGATTCGCTTGAGGTGAGATCCCGCAGGTGGGCCCCGATCCGACGTAACTGGCATCCTGCTAAGGGGCACGGGAAACCGATGCGCCCAGAGGGAGGAGGATGTGAAGATGGGGAGAAGACCCCATGGTCTCAGATTCCCAGCCCCCAGAGCTGGGGGGAAGCCACCCGCTGGGAGCTTTGTTACCACAGCCCCGGGAAGCGCGTACCGGCCATATGTGTGCTCGGTGGTCTCAGCTCAATTTGTAGCCGAGAACAGAGTTTAAAGTAAAAATAGAAGCAACAAGAGAGTAGAAACGAATTTTTCTTGAAAAAAGAAAAATCAAAAAGTCTAAAGATCCTTCAAAGAAAAGCAATGAAAAAAGCTGGTGAAAACAGCGAGACAGGGAATGGGGAAGGGCCCCGCAGGTGCCGTGGGTCCTGAACCCCCTGCCCTGCCCGCCCATCCGCTGTGGGGCTTGCGAGTGACTCTCCTTCCGGAGGGCCCTTATCCTTCCCCCTCCCCGGGTGTGTGGGCAGCGGGAACGGGACCTCACCTCTACGGCCGCCCAGTGTGTGCCACGTGCCTGCACCCAGGCTGCCCGTCTTGTCTCCCCACTTTCCCCAGGGCCCGGACGGGGCTTCTACACCATCCCAGGACCCCCCCGCCCCACCCCGCCCCTGAGTCAGGGGACCTCCCAGGTCCCGCAGCGATGACGTGAAGCAGCACCACCCAGGGAACAAGGGGCAGGATGGGGGCCAGTCCCTGCGGAAGGCACCCTGGCACTCACCAGTAGGGAAGTCCCCCTGGGGGTAGTCGAAGCGGTGAGGGTAGGGCGGCCGCTCAAAGGGGTGCCGCGGGGGGAAGTCGTCCTGCATGAAGCGGGGCGGGAAGCGGTTGAAGTTGTGGGGGTGCGGCGGCTGGTTGAACTGTGGGTGCTGCTGGTGCGGCGGGAAGGGGCCCCGGAAGTGCGGCGGCCGCTGCATGCGGAAGGGCGGCTCGCGCTGGCCCCCGCCCCATGGCGGCTGCTCGTGCTGGCTGTTCCAGGGGCCCTCGAACTGGCTGTTCCAGTTGGGGTCGGGCTGGCTGTTCCAGGGCGCGTCGCGCTGGCCGTTCCAGCCGGGGTCCCCGCGCTGTTCGCCCCACATGCCCTCGTGGCTGTTGTTCCAGGGAGGACAGTGGGGCGGCCCGCCCTGATGGTGCGGGTAGGGCGGCTGCTCGGGAGGCTGCAAGGCAAGGGGCGGACGTGAGCCCCTCCCGAGGCCTGGCCGACTGCCGGCCACACATCCGTGGCGCGGCTCTCCAACCGTGGAGGCGACCTGGCCCCGGCCCCGGTGCTGCCTCCTTCGCTGTGCCGTGCAGCGGAGGCTGGGGTGCCTGGGCTCAGACACCAAGGGTTTCCCGTGCCCACACCCGAGCTGGGCAGGCCCCCAGCGCCAGGGATCCCAACACTCCCAGCTCGGCTGCCTGATCCGGAAGCTGCCCGGCGCACTCCGATTCCCGCGCCCCTGGGTGGCCGGTGCAGAGGTGCATGCCCCACGGCTTGCAGAGTGCAGGGAGGAGCTGGGCCCCAGGGACCCACGCGACAGCCCCTTCCCTGTCACGTTCCCCCGTGCCCTGCGTGGTCTTCTGGGTCACCTCCCATATTGACTACTTGCTCTCAAATCCTGTCGCAGGAAATGTCTTTCTGTGGGTGGGAGAGAACATAAGCTCTGGATCTCAGCTGCTGCTGTGAGACTTAAAACTGGGATTTTAACCCCAAACTCAGGGCCAGGGTGGGATATGCCTAGGAGTGGATGACCAGGGGGCCCATCTTCAGGGTCACAGCTGGTTGGCCCTGTGGAATGCCCACAGAGGCGGGCCTGGGCCACACACACCCTCAGGTCTTTCAAGAAGTCAGAAAGCCAGGGGGCGCCTGGGTGGCTCAGTTGGTTAAGCGACTGCCTT